AGGCTAAGAACAAAGTATAAGGATGAGATGGAAATTAAATGGAAAGGAAGAAGAATATCCTGTGGGCTATAAATTTGATCCGATGTCTCATGCTCTTCTCCTTCTTCCTCTGAAAGAGTGTCTGAAGGATTTAAGCTGATTTAAACATTTCTCGGGGCTTATTCCTCGTCCTTGATAAATTTTAAGGACTTTAGGACACGCTTTGAATTTTTTAACTTGGAAATATTTTATCAATAGTTTGAAATTCAATGAAAAGTTTTTATTTTTACTTACCTTCTTTAAATATATTTACACTACTAAAATAAAAAAAAAAAAATGCAATAAACTGCTCTATTTAATGGCGCAGTGATCTAATAAATCAGGTACTTTATTGCCGAAAGTAAAATATTTTAAACAAAAAATGCAGGATGGGTTAAAATAAAAGCCAAGCGTGTGTAATTAAATAATAATAAAATGTATTAAAAATCGTATACAATTTTGATTTACGTATGGTAAAAAATTGTCAATTCTAATTAGAACTGACACTATTATTAATATTATTATTATTTTAAATATATTAATAATTATTCTTTTGGGAAACAAGAGAAAACATAATGGCAGTTGGAGAGTAGAGACCGAGAGAGTTATAAATAATTATAATAATTCCATAATTAATGAAATTCTTTTTTTTTTATTATTTTTTCATCAATCGTGACAAAAAATGGTTTACAAATTTAAATAGGCGTACATTTCTCCCTCGTCTCTACGAATATCTATTCCTCTTATTAATCAACGTTTTAATTCGTTATTTTCTTTTAATTTGTCCTCCAAATCTTTAATTAAATGTTACAATCAGTACGAGAATTATATTCTAGTACTTAAAATTAGATTTAAAGTTTTAATCTTTATCTGATATGTGAGACTAATTCTCCGTGACTTTTTCCTACTCGATACGTTCTTACATTACAGTTTACAATTACAATTACATTTAATTACGTTTTGTTAATTATATCAATTTTTATTTTTTCATTCATTTATTCACTTAAATTGCGTGTTTATTTTACTCTTCTCAGCATTATTAATTTTATTTATAATAATCATTTTTTAAGTGATTTTTTGCATTTGGCAAGTAAGAGTCTGACAAGACGTTTGCATGAGGCAGGTATCGGTTAATTCAATTTTTGGTAAATATTTACAAGTAGGGTCAACTATTTTAATTTTCATTTTTTTAAACGAAATTTCTATTTGATTTTATTGATAAATTTTTTTTTGAAAAATATATAAAAAAATGAACAATTTAAAAAAAAAAGTTGATTATCACAATTTTAAAAAAATTTATAAATTTTTTAGAAAATTTGATATTCAACTTTTTTTTTTTTAAATTGTTCGTTTTTTATGTACTTTTCAAAAAAAAAAAAAAAATACATCAAAAACATCAAAAAAAGATAAAATAGAAATATTATCCGAAAACATGAGAGCCAAAATTTTTTCCAACTTTTAAAGGAAAAAAAGCTATCGAAATCTTTATTTTTTTCTTTCACGACATTATTTATCATAAATGCGCCGTAAAAATAACTAGAATAAAAAAAAAATTTGACCCCACTTGTAAATAATTACCCAATTTTTCCTACTAAATTTATTTTTCAATTGAAAATTTTTTTGAATTTTTATTATCATAAAAAACACGCATTTGCTTTAGAATTGACTTTACACTTGGCAATTAAATGAGTGAAAATATTATTATTTTGTTGGATTTATTTTTTAACAGTGACTTAAATGACTTATTTATTTGATAATTGCATTTTGGTCTCTACAACTACAAACTGATTTATTTTTACACGGAAAAAACAATTTTTTTCATCAATTTTATTCAAAAAAATTTTTAAAAATTAAAATAAAAAATAAGAGCAAATTTTTTTTCCGTGTACTCGGCGGAGATCATAAAATATTATTATTAGCGTTAATTATTAATTATTAGTATTATAATAATAATTATAGGGTCTCGAAGACTTCCAATACTACTCTCACGTATACACGTAACATACAGTGTTAAACTACGGTGCACGTGATTAATTTGTTTGTTGTATTTATCAATACATAAAAAATCAATCTCTTTCTCTCCCTGTCTTTTGTTAATTATTATTATAATTATTATTTTACTTAATAATAAGTGGAATTAGCAAAACGATAAAATACATCGGAGAGTAAAGATTTTCATTTTAATTTTATTAATTTGTATGTGTCATAATATAATATATATATTATATCAAGTCTATGGAATATTAAACAATGACCAGTTATCTCATTAATTATTAATCTCACGGTAAAAAAAACTGCTCTATTATATATATATATATATATTTATATATTTATTTATATTTATATACTTTTGTTTGTTTTTTAATAATAATCACACATTATTGAATAATTAATAATAATTATTTTATTATAAAATATCTGCCAAAGATTTCTCTCTCGTGACTCGAATTCTGTACAAAAAAATTTCCCCACTCATTCATTATTTTTACTGTTATTTACAATGACTATCATCTAATTATATATTTATTTAAATATTTACACTTTAATAATTATAATATTAATAGTTTTTTTTTTTTCAATTTTCCACAGTAAAAACTACCCTATACATCTTTCAAATTTTTTAATAAAACTTAAAGTTTTATTCGCCCTACTATCAGTAGACCAAGCAGCTATATAAATACATTCACAATATATATATATATATATATATAT